GCATGTAGTGCCACACAGTGGTAAAAAGAGTAATAATGTCTGTGAGAGTGGATGTTACTGAGCAACCCAGAGGAAACCTGTGAACTCAGCAACCCCTGAGTGTCATTCAGCATGGCTGTGTACTGTTGTACCACACCAATCTGGAGACTTAGCTGGAGACTCAGCCAGCCCTGTGGCTCAGCTTCAGCCTCACTCAGCACAGCAGAACCCAGCCCTTGGTCTGGCTCTGCACACATGTGGCAGTGGCAGCTGCCCTGAAGTGGCTACATGCTTCACAAGGGTGGGGACAGGAACCGCCTGGCTCTGAGGACAACATGGGCATGACACCAAATGGGATGGTCGTGAAGATGAAGGAAATGAAATCACTTGTGGATTTTTACCTGTAATACACTCCAATGCCTGCACTGCTTTGGTCTCTGTGCAGCTGGCGGCTGTTGCTCATCTCTGGGGAAACCTCATTGTGGCCTTCCAGTACTTGAAGGGAGCATATAAACAGGAAGGGGAGCGGCTGTTCACAAGTGTGGGTAGTGATAGGACAAGGAGGAATGATTTTAAACTGCGACAGAGGAGGTTTAGGTTAGATATTAGGAGGAATTTCTTCACCCAGAGAGTGGTGACACACTGGAACAGGTTGCCCAAGGAGGCTGTGGATGCCCCATCCCTGGAGGCATTCAAGGCCAGGCTGGATGTGGCTCTGGGCAGCCTGGTCTGCTGGTTGGTGACCCTGCACATAGCAGGGGGTTGAAAGTAGATGGTCATTGTGGTCCTTTTCACCCAAGCCATTCTATGGTCTCCCTGAAAGAAAGCAAATAAAGCAATTCCACTGACCCACACAGGTACAGGCACAAAAATAGTTCTCTGTAGTTATGCCTCACTTTGGCACATTATTTTGGGGCAGAGAGGGTATTGAATTTTATTTAAAATAAAATAGTTATAGTGTGCAACTCTATCTACCTTGCCAACTGCATGGCAATATCACTGTATAATATCATTATAACGTTAGAGGAATTAAAATCATCTGAGCTGGGTAGCTGAGTGAAATAGTTTATTAGCACACACACACACACACAAAAGCACAGAATCCTCCATTAAAATTTTATTTTGTCAAAATTAAGAAAATACATTCATCTATTGGCATGGCTGTCATCTTGCTTAGTATCAGTGTCGTGATCTAGTCGGGCAGAAATGGGATCACTTAGGAGTCATAGGATGTCCTGAACTGGAAGGGACCCATGAGGATCATCAAGTCCAACTCCCGGCTCCATACAGCACCACCCAAAACCCAAACCCCATGTCTGAGAGCAGAGCATATTATATATATATATAAATATATTACATATATTAAATATTTTATATATATATATACAGATATATAACATATCTTTATATATATATATATTTTTTTTCAGCCAGAAATGGTAATCTGAACTTAAACAGCACCATGGCTGAGGGTAGTGATCAGGCTGTGCACACACACATGTTCTGATGGCTGCATCCCAGTGAGGGTGCTGGGTGCTGCATAAAACTTGCCTCCAGCTGCTTTCACAGCTCCAACAGCATTTATTCTTGCCTGGGCTCTGCCCTGGGATGGATATTGAGCCTTTTGGATAAGAACAGCATTTTAAAAAGCTGAGAAAGAGAGAAATTCTCCATACAAGTCAGTGTGACCCATCAAGGACAGGCTTTCCACAAAAGAGTGGACATCAGCATTTCAGACAGGGATCTAAGCTGAGGAAGATTTATTTTTACAGCCCAGCATGCTCATAAACTGCATGACAGTACGTGGAAGGGATGACGGGATCCATAGCAGTAGCATATGGAGCACAGGCAAGCATTTCGACAACAATTTGGCTGGTTTCTGCTCAAAATATTTATGACAGCAGCAAGTCAGAGCTGCCACAAAGATGACAAATTCTTTGAAATCTACTTGGGAATCACCGTTTTCATCCAGATTCTTGAAGACCTTATTGATAGTATCCTTGTCCTTTCTTGTCTGTGAAAGAAAAGGAGCAGGCCAGAACCCCAGAGCACTATTACCTGCATCCCAGCATCAAGCATGTGAGGCATGAGGACAGTGCCTGGGAGGTGGGCCCAAGGGAATGGCATGGAGCTGTGTCAGGGGAGGGACAGCTGGGGGTGAGGGAAAGGGTCTGCACCAGAGGGTGGTGGGCACGGAATGGACTGCACAGGGCAGTGGGCACAGCCCTGAGCTGCTGGAGCTCAAGGAGTGTTTGGACACTGCTCTCAGACATGGGGTTTGGGTTTTGGGTGGTGCTGTATGGGAGTTGGACTTGATGATCCTCGGGTGTCCCTTCCAGTTCAGGACATCCTATGACTCCTTATAAGTGATCCCATTTCTGCCCAACTAGATCACTATGCTGATACTAAGCAAGATGACAGCCATGCCAAAAGATGAATGTATTTTCCTAATTTTGACAAAATAAAAAGCATTTCTCTAGAGAAGCTCCCGGAAGACCTTTGTTTTTTGTTTTTTTGGTTGTTTTTTTTTTTTTTTGGTTCGAGTCTTGATCAACTCCAATGATTTTAGGAGTAAAAGCAGTTTTAAAAATAAGCAGGGGATGGCAGTAGAGACCTGTGTAACACAGAAAGCAACAGCGGGCCTTTTAGTGAGGCTAAACGAGTGAACAGAAATAGAAATTATTTGAACTTTTGGAATTTTTCCAGGACTGTAACAGTAATGATTGCCTGACCCGAACCCAGGCAGCACTCTGTGATCATGCTCCGAGTAACTCCATTTTGCATTCTGCATTCTGCAACTTCATGTTTCTCTTAATAAATAACTAAATGGATGCATCTTTAAATCACTATAAATGGACACAATTGCCCAGATTTCATTGATGAGTTTGTCCGGGAAGTTTTATTCCTTTTCGATCATCAATATTAATTCTGTAAGTTCATATTTTAAGTTATTTAGTGGAATGCATGAACTAGTTTCAGCCTCAGAATTACTTCTGAAATGCTTGTGTGGGATTTTTGTGCATGTGCAAATATATACTTTATTGGTTTGTTCAATTCTTCAGTCCTACGGCGTGGATTTATTTCTGCTTGTGATTGACTGAAGGCATTTCCAGGCAGTTTGTGCTCTGCCATTACTCATTCTAGGACCAGAAATATGGGAGTATTTAAAGGACTCTGTTTCATAGAACATTCTTGAAAATAATAATAATAGAAATTATGTATATATAAATGCCACTAAAATAACAGCAGGTATAATAGTGACTATTTTTCTGGACTAAGACTTACATTCTCTGTTGCTTTCTTGCAGTTATTAGCTTTTAAGACAAGATGCTATTGATTTAAATTCATCATGGCTTCACCAGGGGAAGGTCATGCTTAACTAATCTTGTGGCCTTCTATGATGGAGTGACGGCATTG